GTTTGTTCGTGTATAATTTTTTAAAGAAAATTTAAAACAGTATTAAAATTTATTTTTTTAAGCAACGCTACGCGCCACCTTACATATAATTTTCGAAATAAATCCTTTCTAAAAATTGAAAGAGTAATCGGATGCCCTTTCAATTGTCAGAAGTCTTCACTTCGAAAATTATATAGAAGTCTTTCACTTCGAAAATTACATAAAATCTTCGAAGTGAAAAACTTCTGACAATTGAAAGGGCAATCATTCAATTACCCTTTCATTTTCAGAAGAAATTTACTTCGAAAATTATATGCAAAGGTACGCACAGTATTGTTCGAGAAAAAAATTTAAAATGTAGACATATAATAGTAATAGTACTAAGTACTAACAAAAATTTAACTAAATTGGTGGAAATAAATTTTTTCTTTTTTTTTTTTTTAACTAAAAGAGATAGAAAAAAATGAAAATGAAATCTTTATTTTTTTTATTTTTTTAAAATAGATAAAATATAAACCATCCTCCTTTATCCGGGCTTGGGACCGGCTACTTAAATTTTCAGTAGGCGGAGTTAAAAATTGTACACGAACAATTTATTATATTGTGTACAATTTTTTAAAGAAAATTAAAAGTAACGATAAGAAAAGAAAAGTTTCATCAATATAATTAAATCAAATATCACTTACTTGACGACATGCAATTTCGGCATATTTATCTTGTAGTCGAAAATGAGTGTCCTGCCAATCCTTAATGTACATTAACGTTTATAAAATATATTCTTTCAGTCGGCTCCTGACCTCGCTCAAAACTCTTTTACCTGCACTAAAAGCAAACTCCGAAACAACAATGCTAACTGGAGGTGTCAGCAAATCTTTTGTAATCGCAGATATAATTGGTCAATGTTGTTCATACCTTCGCCAGAATTCAATTACTTCGTCTGAACTTTTTTAATTGTTTTATTTGTTAGCATATTCTGGCTGGTTGAAATAATCAATTAATTCAGCAGGCAATGCATTATGACTTGAGCTCGTAGATGTTTGATGAGAATGAGATACAGATGTAGACAACTTGACAGTGACAGTAGATGAACACATTGCAGATGAATCATATCTATACGAATTAATGCCTTGAAATAAATTAAATATTTTCGCATCTTCTTCTCCAATTTCAACGGAAGGAGTAGGTGCAGATGGTACCCGACTAATATTGGTACCCACTCGGTTCGCATATAATTCATACATTTCATATAATGTTTGCTCTAAATTTCTATACGTGATAGGTGTATCAAATGTTAAGGCATTTAAAATTTGATCAATTATATATTTAGTTCCCAATAAATTATATTGGGGTCTATCCACATGCTAAAGGAAATAATATAGACAAATCTTCTCAATATTTTCTAAATTTTAATTCCATAGCAATTATAATTTCACTAAAATCAGGGTCATTTTTGTATTTATGAAATGTTCTTGCAATTATATAAAGACGTTCAAGTACCATACAACTGGTAGGATAGTAAACGCCTGATAAAATCTTAGTGGTTTCATAAAAAGATATCAAAAATCTTTTAACTTTCAAAGCTATTTGTCAATCATGTTCAGACAACATACACTTGTCATCACTTCTAACATGTCTATTGCTATAAAAGTCAATTATTAAATATTCAAAACTTTCACATGACTTTAATAACAAGTAAGTAGAGTTCCACCTATGACCTACGTCGCTAACAAATGTTTTAGCATTTTTCACTTCTATTTCGGCACAATAATTCTCAAATGCTTGTTTTCTACTTGGAGAGATTGTGATATATATTAGTGCGTTCCTAATATTTTAAAATTCATCATTTATATGTTTTAAACCATCTCGGACAATTAAATTCAAAATATGACATACACCTCGAATATGAAACAAATACCCACCAAAATCAGGTTACAGTACCCTATGCAATTTATCGGCAACTACATTATTAACACTAGCATTATCAAAAGTAAATGAACGAATTTTACTTTCGCAATGATATTCTCTAACAATACCAATAATAACATTAAATATATTATTAGCGTTGTGAGGAAATTGACTAATTCTAAAAGCAATAATTTTTTTATGCATGCACCAAAGTGGGTCTATATAATGTGCAGTTGCAGCTATATATGCTCTTTTATTAATCACTTCCCATATATCCGAAGTTAAAAATATGACACCCCTATATTTTTGTAAATCCATAATTAATTGTTGTTTTGTTTCAGTAAAATATTGTATTGTATCGGAACAAAGAGTGTTTCAACTTATCCCAACTTACCTTGGCTGCAGATATTCTTTCAGATACGAGACGTAGTATTGATTGTCAATTAATGACAAAGGCAATTCAGTACCAGCAACGAGTTTCACCATTCCAATTCGAACTCCCTTCTCCGATTACACCCATGTGGATAGGGGTGCAGCAGAACCAACGGCGTTTGGACTGTCAAATTGCAATTGTATTTGATAGCCTGGAATAAGTCCTTGTTTGGTCGCACATACTTTATAATGGCGGTTGAAATGGGTGGTACCAATTCGTCTTTGCTATGCCAATCTTTGTTAACAGTATTTACATACTGCTTTAGATTCTGGGACTCCATTGACGATTTTTCCCGTTGAAATCAATTTAAAGTGATCCCAACATTTTGCTTGTTTTTTTCCCCTTTCACTTCCCCTCGCATCAGGAATGTTTAATTAAGCATATTCTTCCTGATTGTGTTCCGTTTCGGGAACGTCAATAGCATCCAAATTAATTGGATAATTTGGATTGTCGCTCACATGATAATGAAGATTCAAATCTGGAATATTTTCAGGGAGGGGTACGTCATTTAGACCTTCAAATTGATTCTGAAATTGACTTTGTGGTGTCATAGGCGATTCGTTTCGTTCTACACCGAACAAGTTTTCGACAAATGTGCGTGAATCCATTTGTTTAATTGTAATAAGTAATAACTAGTAAAAGAATAACTGTACAAATGTAGTGAGAAATGAAAATTGGATGAAATTTCAATAAATATAGTGAGAATTGAGAAATGAGAATTGGATATTGTATAAATTGTATATAAAAATTGCACAACTCTCAACACAACACAAGAGAGTTGAGAGTGAATTGTAGAAAATTTTGTGGCTAAATACCACTATTTATAGAAGAAGAAGAGGGAAAAAAAATAATTAAAGGACTGAAATGGTCACTGAAAAAATTCAATGACCGTTAACGGTCATAAATTTAAAAAAAAAAATTTAGGGACCGAGACGGTCACTAACAAAAGTCAGTGACCGTAATGATCACTTTATAAAAAAGGCTCGTGGGCTCGTTGAAAACGAGCCGCTTGCCGGGAGCGGTTCGTTTAATTTACAAGCCGAGCGGCCTAGGCTCGCCCACCGAACTGGCCCGCTCGGCTCGAGCTCGGGCTCGTGTTTTTACGACCCCGGCCGCCCACGAGCTCCATTTTCGCCAGTTGAGCGAGCGAGCCGACGAGTCGCTCGACCCTTTTGCCACCCCTATCTATAGCTGACTAGAAGATGAACGACTACCTCAAATCAAAGTATGAGAAATAAAACTGAATGAAATGGATAATTCATTAACATTAATTGCACACAACCATAATTTTCCAGAAACTAATGTAAAAAGAGTATGACAAAGTTAAATTTTTCGTTAATAACCTAGAATTTCTAATGTAAAAGATCTAATCTCTTAAAATATCACACCTGTGTCACAAATATCTACATGCACAAAATGTTCTCCATTCAATAGTTTTAACCTTTCGTATATGTCAAATGCCATGCAATGTGGTGAAACAATGTTTTTGGCCTTTGGCCATGTAATGGGTTATCCAAGTTCTCATTTAAGGGGACCGTTTCCATTCATCACCTACATGCACAAAATACCTCTCGTGCGACATGATGAATTTCAGATTATTACTTATACTTGAAAATATTAAATTACAATGATAAGCATTTGGCACAATAAATATATCAGACTCTAGTAGCTTGCAAGTGTCACCTACAAATAAATTATACTGGATCGGTGAAAAAAAAATTTAAATGTTTTTCCCGACATTTACTAAGTGTTGAATTCAACATTTGAACCGTAGATCTCCATAGTTTTCTTTGACAGTTCAACTGTTGATATTTAGGGTTAGCAGCTAAGGAATAGCATTTAAAGGGTGTGATTGGAACACATTTTTCTTAGCATTAGTGTTTCAGCGATGCTCAACTATCAAATGACAAAATTCTCACAAATAATTTAAACAATGCTTTGTTAAATAGGGAATCTTTGACAACATTTTACAGAGGACCTTGATATCTTTATTGAAAAACATATGCAAAATCAAAATGAATGAATGAATAAAAATTTGCAAAATTGCAAATTAACATGAGCATGTTGCATATAAAATTCGAAAAATAGTAAGTTAAAAGATAAAAATATTAAACAGGTTGTAAATATTAACCTCTCAAAATGAAAGATGAATACAAGAATACTTTTTTCTTGATGTTGGAATGGATGAAATATAAACAAAGTTGGGATTTTTGGAGAGAAATTGTCATCACCTTAGAAATGTGAGTTGTGATTTTTATTGTTATTTATTTTTTGTTAAGAATTTTATTATTCATTGTATATTAAGTGTATTCAGTGATTTTTCTTATCGAAGTAAATAATCAAATTTTGACATTAATTTACATTAAATGCACCCAAAAAAATATCATATCCCAGAATGATTTCAACATTTTACACCCAAAAAGTAACATTTTTTTTAGCCCCGAAAAAAAATAAAAAAATAAAACTGTATTAATTTGTCATCATAATTCCAAAAAAATATTTTACACCCAGAATGATTTACATTAAATGCACCAAAAAAAAATCCAAAATTCCCCTGTATTAATTTGTCATCATAATTGTAATTCATATTCTTATACATATAAATTAATATCATTTATTAGTTTCACGTAACCCGGATTGGACAAACAAAAGAATAGAACCCGAACCGACCCCCATAACAAATTTCTATTTGTTCGCCCTGTCTCTTTTACTCATCATCCAAAAGCACGATGAATCCGGACCCGAAAAAAAATCCGGCCTATCAGACCAAACTTGACGAAGCTCCAGCCCCCCAACCTTCTGCCGATTACGCTCCGTATCCGAAACTTGACCTTAAAGATGTCGCTCCTGTCACTGACACGTGGAGCTCTGTCCCTGTGGGATCGGAATCCCACGGCTCGGGTAATAATAACACACCTAGGTCTCCGTCGGCTGCTGAAGGCCCGCCTCCGATTTCCGGCGCCGCCACAACCACCATGCCTGCCGAATCCAATCCCTACGTTTCCTCTGCTCCCGTCCCAGGATCGTCTTCCTCAAAGAGTAAGTTTGAGTTATTATTATTATTATTTTTTTTATCGATAATTGATTTGAATCTAATTTTATTTCTATTTTAATTAATTTTTATTTATCATTTGGTTGTGGATGTTTGATAAAATGGATTCAGTAAAGGATGTATTGGGTAAATGGGGAAAGAAGGCGGCGGAGGCTACTAAGAAGGCCGAGGACTTGGCTGGAAACATGTGGCAACACTGTGAGTGTATTAATCTTTGTTATTTTATGTTTATATTATTTCATTTTTGGTTATGGATTTGTGTTTTGCCTATGTTGATGATGTAAGTCCTCGGGAAAAATATGTGACTGTTTGTATGTGCAATTATTTGAGAGCACAAGGGTAGAGATCATACTTTCTCCTTATTATAGAGTTCATGCATTTCCATTACTGTTAAAAATGTTAAATTATCATGTTTACAATTCTACAGGCGCTTGAGTTCTTATACCAACTCTCCAGTAAACCATTTTAACTTCTTTTCTTTGACCTCCAGAATTGATTCCTTTTAGCTAATATTTATAATTTCTTTGAGTAGATCAGTGGAGAAACTGGCTTTATATGGTCTGTGATTGGCTACATCAAGTCCAGGATTATGGGCTTTCCATTGCTACCCTATCCTGACAACATGATGACAAGTTAGAGAATTAGTAATCCTAATTTTTTAGAACAATTTTTGTTAATTTTTCTCTTTAGCGCGCAGGAAATGAGTTTGACATAAAAATTTGAAACTATGTCTTTGGTAACCAGTTCCTTATAAAACTATGTTCTAATGAATGATTTTAGAAAAGACCAAAAAAAAAAAAAAAAAAAGATTTGAATAATATGATTCTAATTGAAAAACAATGTTCAACTACTCCCCACATTCAATTTGACTTTGTTGAATCGATATCTTATCAAATTTGTTCAATTTTGAAAAATGATAAATGCATTTGATATTGTGAATTGAGAAGTTTGTGTCATATGGAAACTGAATGAGTTAATAGAACTATGGACAAAATTTTTATGGATAGTTGTTATTTCTGATAACGATTTACATAACTAACTTCTGCTTAATCAGTAAAAACAGGCCCAAGTTTGGCAGATGCTACTGTTGGAAGAATAGCACAGAGCACGAAGGTATTGGCAGAAGGTGGATACGAAAAGGTCTTCTGTCAGACATTTGAGACCATTGCTGATGAGAAACTTCTAAAGTACTATGCGTGCTACTTATCTACTTCTGCTGGACCTATCATGGGAGTTCTGTATTACTCAACTGCAAAACTAGCATTTTGTAGCGATAGTCCTCTTTCATATAAAGTGGGTGAGGAGACACAGTGGAGCTATTACAAGGTATGATGTATATTGTGGATTGCGTTGGTCTCATTTGATTTCCATGGTTTACCCACACACACATCTTCATCTCAAAATTTTATGTGCTTCCTAATTGCACTCGTGTCAAACATAATTTTATTGAGAATAGATTTTTTAAGCAGATTTTTTCGGAGAATGTATGGTTAAAAAGTTATGAGTTTTCGCGCAAAAATATTTTATTGAGAGAATGTGTATTTGAAAATGCGTTTGAGGCAAAAAAAAAAAAGGCTCTTTAAAGAATGAATCTCTACCAAACAGGGGATAAGTCATATAGCTCAGGATTCTAGCGTAAAAAGTAGGCATTGTGACGCTTTTTCTGGAGCAACAATTCTATGCCTTGTACCCTTGTAAAGTTCTAACCATTTCCAAAGCGAATGATTTCGATCTTAGACTACCTCTATCCTGCCATTCATGCACTCATTGCTTTATATTGTTTCCCTTGATGTAAATGAAACCACATAATTGTCATGGAGTTTCATTTATATCTTTCTGATATCATGTGAGACGAGATTGTTGATGCACATTAAGCAGTTCCCACTATTCGTACAATGTAGCGTTTCAGTCCCCACTATATTTAGTTAGTGTTATTGACTAGTTGGACTTGTTCACATGCTCTTTCAGTCCAATAGAAAATGCTTTTTTCATGAACTTCCTCACCAACTGGCCCACTTTGTTAATATGAGGAAATTGGTAAACAACACCTAACACCTAGCATTGGTTACCAGGAGTCATGGCTTTACAATGCAAATAGGGATGTATAATGCAAAACATTGTTAAATAGGTCATATGGAGAGGGGTGCCTTATTTGCATCTTAGATTTCAAGATGGAAAACATAGCAGGATACATGTGCTGGATATTTTTTAAACATTATGGGTTTGATTCGGGATTTGGAAAGTGCAATTAGAGTTTGATTTATACTGTCTTCCAATAGAATAAGATGTGAAGCAAGGTGTTTAACATAGTTAGAGGAACCATCAGTCAATGTATAAAAAGACATAATTTGTTATTAGGGAGTTTCATTGCCACGTCATGAGGTGAAGCTTAAGCCTTAGTATAGAATAATGAAAGAATCAAAAGAACATAAAAATACAAAAAATATACTTATTATTATTATTATTATTATTATTATTTATAATCATCACTATAGAAATAATCTTTAAGGGAGTTATTTCACCATTGTCATCATTCTCATCCCAAGTTTCTTTTCATTCTTTGTCAACAATTCAGTTGCAATGTTGTATTCTCCTTCCCATTTTCCTTCCGTGTAGGCAAAAATGGAAATTAAATAAAAGAACATGTTCAACATTTTAGGTTATAAAGAAACAACTCAAATAGTTAAGGCCAATAATTAAAATGTTTGAAAAATGCCAGGCAAATATGGAAACACCTTACTTGACTTGAAGAGTAAGTCTCACAGATGGCATTTAAGGTGCAGGTTGCATTTTATGAGCAGGATTCGAGGTATAAGCCTCAAATAGTTTAACTATTTGAAGGAGTGATTTTGTCTCTCTGTCTAAGGGAATTCATATAATACAATACAACGATCTGTTTTTTGTTATGTACAGAGTTGTATGCAATATAATTTTCATCTAGAAAATGCCTGTGAGTAGTCATCTGCATATGCAACATCGGCGGGCGGTATACACATGAATTTATGTCCATTGTGTTGCTTTTTCTGCACTTCTGTTTTGACATCATTAGAGGGTATGATCTTTAATATTTTGCATTCTTTGTTCTCTTAGCAACAAGACTATGCACTCTCATTTTCTTATAGAGTTGTATTTACTTCTATAAAATTTAGTTATGGATTCACTTAATCTGTTATTTCACAGGTTTATATTACCTTAATTTCCCACGTCATTATTATCTTTAGACAACTTTGCTGACCAAAGATGTACCGTTTGATGACGATATATAAATTCATGTATGTCAGTCGTGAATCCACTAATTACAAGTTTTGTATTTCTTTTGACTTGGATAGGTGGTTGTTCCTCTGTATCAGCTAAAAGCAGTTAATCCTTCAAAGAGCAAAGTCAATCCAGCTGAAAAATACATTCAGATTATTTCAGTTGACAATCATGAGTTCTGGTTCATGGGATTCTTGAACTATGATAGTGCAGTGAATAATATACAAGGTGCTTTGGAGGCTCATCACTAGTCGAGAGGATATCCGAATATATCAGATCATGTATGTTTAAAATTATCAGTTGCGTGTGGTCGAGGATATGCTTTATTTCGCAGCTTGCCTGGTATTCAGCTATTGTTTATTCATCTTAGCGATATGCATTGTCGTGGTAAATAGCAACTTGGTGTGTACATTTGTTTTGTCATGACTACCTAAATGATTATGTCTGCAAGTTAATTTGTCCTCCCTTTTGAGTTCACTGTAGTTTCATTTTTCTTTTTTGCTTTTGATTTCTTCAATTGATTTTCGTGGCTTTAGTTCTCTGTGTTGGTAACCTTCATTTCGTCACTGAACTGAGTTAGATCTCAATTCCGTTAACCAACTTTGATAGTTAGGTACGTACTTCGTTTACATCAGATTTCTACGTGATTTTTATAAATTGAATGCAATATGACATGCATATTATGTTTTTATACAAATATGTCACCTAATCATGATGTGACTGAAATATAAAATTAAATTGTGTAAAAAATATACGATACTTCATGTAACAAAGTACAGTTAGAGCTTAATTCATTTTCAAATTTCAAGATTTTGTAGCATATTACCTAGAAATGGGTGTTAATAGAGGATTGTGGCTTTAAGTTTAATAAGGTGTGCTAACTTGAGTGATTAAGATTGAAAATATTTGATTGCGAAGTTAGATAACCTAATTGAGATCTTACCAAAAGTTCAGGGACCAAATTTAAAATCAAGCATATTTTCACCTATTGCATCTTCGTTGAAGTTCTCTTTACCGAAAAGGGAAAGGCGGGGGCGGGGGGATGGAGATGTTCTTTTTGTACAACCGGGGTTGAATGTACTCACGGGAGGGGGAACACGCGATTTTTTTATTCAACGTGGGTTTTCCTTCCATGTGTTTAATTGTCAACCGAGGTTGTCAACTCCGATTGTACACATAGTACAACTGATGTTTTTAATGGTAAAATTATTTGAAATTCACAAGTTTTAAAATTTACATAATTTAGAGCTCTGAATGTCATGACTCAACTTCTTCGCTGTTAATTATATATATCTATTCGTTATTTCATCTAATGCTAGTATCGCTATAAGTGAAAGGGTGAAAACACCCTATTTAAGGTTAACAAAGCCCTTCTTGTGTAAATTAAAAGCTAAAAAAATTTCAAGTCAAAGTTAACAATTAATTTTAATCACAAATTTTATGGGACTTACAATTTTTTAATTATATATTTAATCAATTTTTATCAAAATTTACTAAAAATATGATATTAATCTATAGCCAACGAGGGTGAAATCTTGAGCTTATGAGTAGTGGGAGAAGTTTAGGGCTCCAACTGTTTACTTACTAAAGAATAAGTAGACAACTCACAGGTGGCTTTGTTAAAAGGAACAGTTGCAAATTTATATTGGGGTGGATGGATTGTAAATAAGTAATAATGGATTAAAATAGTGTATCGTCCCAAAAAGATTGACAGACGATCCCACATTAATTAAAACTTAACCGTAACAAGAAACAAATTTAAGATTTTGGTTTTGAATCGAGTTTTCCTAACAACTAAAACAAGAAATTAAACATGTGTACAAGTATTTGAGTGAAATTTAATCAAGAAAAGTACTAGGATGCAAAGTTCATCATTGTAACTCTATTTTAATCTTCAATTACCTGTCAATGATTAATTTTTCCAGGTTAAAGATCAATAATTCAATTTTAATTTAAAGTCTTTCTGAAGATCAATTAATTCTATTTATATGAGAAGGACTAAGAGCCAGCCATCATACGAGAGAAGCGAAGGGTGATGTGTAATTTTGGTGGCTCAATATTTTTCAACAACTTTTGTTTACATATGAATTGTGGCTAGGGGTGGCAGTGGGCCGAGTCGAGCCGGCTCGGCTCGTTAACCCACGAACTCAGCTCGGCGCGGGGCCGAGGCGAGCCGAGCTCACGAACGGCTCGCGAGCTCGTGAATTTTTATTTTTATCTTTTTTTTTTTCAAATTTTTCAAATTTTATTGATAAAATTTTAATTTTTTCAACTTTTTTAGACGAGCCGGCTCGTTGGACGCGACCCCCCGCTCGGTTCGAGCTCGGGCTCGTCATTTGACGAGCCCGAGCAGCCCACGAGCTGAGCTTTGACGAGCCGAGCGGGTGAGCGGGCGAGCCGCGAGCCGGCTCGGCCCAATTGACATCCCTAATTGTGGCTCTTATCTGAATATTTCCATAATTGGACCAGCTACTTTTGTTAGAATGTGAATTATCCAAAAATTTAAAAATTTCTTTAATTCAGTAAATAAGATCGTCTAGATGTTTACGTATATATTATATTAAGAATAAAAAATTCGATGATATATTCTTAAATTAATTTTGAATCACAAACTTTCAATTTTTTAGATCACGAGCTTCCAGTTTTTAAATTTCAAGAACTTGATGTTTCAAACCCCTAGTCTTCTATGATATTCTCCAAAGTCAAAATTATACTGTTGGGTGGGCATTTTCTTTTAATTAAATTAAGAAATTAATTCTTGACCTGGACAATTTAATAAGATGATAGAATAGTTATTTTTTTCTCTTTCCAAATTTGAACATTATAAAATTATGTATTACGATTGCCATTTTTTTGTAGGATGTCTAAATTCCATCTAATCTTTATTTATAGAGATGCAATAGTGTCAAACCTTGTATAATAACAATTTTACAATCAAATAAGAGTCATAATTAAATTCAAATAAGAGTTTTAATTAAAGTCCACATCCAATTAGTTTATATTTAATTACATATGTAGTCTTAGAACTTCAATTACAAATATAATTAAGTTTAAAACTTTTATAGCAATTACACTAAGTACAAAAATTTATTATGATTACAAATAAGTCAAAAACTATTATAATTACCGTAATTAAGTTTCAATACTTTATAGATTTACAATAGGGATCCGATTGAACATATATTATCCAAGTTTGAATAATCAGACCCTGTCTAATTAACCTTTGCCCACCCAATTTAATTATTAGTGTTTGCTTGTTCCACTAAAGGGAAAAGATTGAACTTTTAGAATATATGAAATTATAGAAGCCAATAATTGTGTAATACTCTTTGTCTGAGATTTGATAATTAGGCACGAGTACCAATTTCTTCAACTGTCCAGTGACCAAATTATAGATGTCGAAGTTTAGCCACCGCTAAACACCGAGCTTAGATTTTAACTGTTCAATGAAAAATATTTAAGTAGTCACTCTATTCATTTTCAGGAAAATAGTTCCCAACACGAATTCATGTTCTCTTCTTCGCTCATTCTCAAGCTTCCAACTCACAAAATATGTAATCAATCAAATTGATCTCACCTATTTATAAATCAAAGAACCATTAAAATCACAAAAACATATACTTAACCCTATCTAGGAATTTAGATGAAATACACAACAGTCAATTGAAATTTAATTTTCTGCACGATCTGCTATAGAACTAAACTCGACACGTGGTCCGTTCAATACACTCCAAGTGTATTGGTGTTATCTTTAATTTTTTCTGTGATATGGATAAATCACAAACGTAAATAGTGAATCGATCAGTACTACAATCTTCCAATACAAGGTGTCAACCCTTATACGTTGGTTATGAACAAATTATTTATGATTAAATTATAAGTTATGTCACACTGTACTTCTCAACGCAAGTACCTAACTTATATTATCACAAATAATTATATACACATTCGCATGCTCAATAATAAATAAAGAAAGCTAAAATTTATTTATTATAAATTATTATTTTATCATAGCAAAATATAGTATATGGACACACTCTTTTGCCTATATATTGAACATTTAATTAATAGTATTCTTTTTTCCATTGCGATGTTTGTTCTTATTGGCTTTAAATAAATAAATTGTCTGTAAGCAATATGGAAGACACTCTCTGCAAATAGATCTCTATACTAGAAAACGAAAGAGTACTGTTAAGCTGCGACATTACCCACATCATTCATGGTAGAGCTTCTCCCTAATCCACATTACAATTAATTATAGAAGTCTCAAATCCAACTTCAGGATCGTGAAGAGATACAATGGATGTTATTTATATATATATGTATCATGTGTCCTTAAGTAGTTAAAATTATGACAACACGACAATGATATAACTTAAATAAAATGGCAATAGAATTATGACGACATGAAGAATTAGGAAAAATATATTTTTTTCGAGGAAAATATAAAATACAATAATAATTCATAACAAGGGCTAGTGACCACCTCCTCTTCGACTCGGGCCAGAATATGCTTGATTTTCCACAGCACTATCATTTGTTGTAGAACAGTGTCGATGGAGCATATTCGAGTAATTGGAGTGAATAATCGGAGTATATCTCAGATGCCGGCCAGAACCTTCGATAATATTTACGTAAAATACCAATATGATAACTATAATCATTGCAATATAAACATGAATATTGCAGAGATGTAAATGATGATTATGTTTCATGGTGAGTCTGTTTGCTGATATTAATGTTATGTTTTATGGACTGAGAATGATTTCAGTACCATTAAATAGAGAAGAGAGAGCCTGTTAGGGTTAGCGATCTCGTTCATTGACTTAATGAAGATTTTGTGGGAATTATGTTAACAAAATCGTGAGGAATGTACAATAATTCTTTTGAGTTCACAAGCGCATTGGGTTTATACTTTTAAGCTAATTATATTCACACTACAAGTTTTGTTAACTACACTACATTTTGGATACAATGAATGTCCTAATTTACTTGTGTAATGAAATATTTCCAGATTTTTTCCTTCTATGTTTTGCATATCTTGTATCTGACGATGATTTTCGTCCAAAAAATTTGTTAGGAGGGTGTAAAAAGACTTATCTGCCTCTTATATTTTTAAATAGGTAATTAAAAATAGAAATATTTTACAATATTTTTCCCTCATTTCAATTCATGCGTTAGCATAATATTTAGATAAAAAATGTAATCAGAGACAAGATATTTTAATTAATTGAAGGTTAAGGAAAAGAATGCGATGAAATGATGCGAACACAAAGAAAAAAGGAAAAATTGGGAACCTTTATTGCAATTAAAATGTAGTTGTATCCATACTTCTATATATTCTTTCTTGGAAAGAATGAGAACAAATTTTAAAATATAGATTTGTATTTATTTAGAAATCAAGTTTGACAATAGAGGGGATTCATGCTAGACAATTGTTGAAGAGAAAATTGATAAAATTAAATTTGTGCCTAAAATTTGGCCCCTCTTTTGTTCATTCTCTAATAAATTAAAATATTAGAAGAATATTTCCC